TCGTCCTGGTCCCTTTGCAGAAAAACAGCCCCAAAGCATGATGTTTCCACCCCCATGCTTCACAGTAGGTATGGTGTTCTTTGGATGCAACTCAGCATTCTTTGTCCTCCAAACACGACGAGTTTAGTTTTTACCAAAAAGTTATATTTTGGTTTCATCTGACCATATGACATTCTCCCAATCCTCTTCTGGATCATCCAAATGCACTCTAGCAAACTTCAGACGGGCCTGGACATGTACTGGCTTAAGCAGGGGGACACGTCTGGCACTGCAGAATTTGAGTCCCTGGTGGCGTAGTGTGTTACTGATGGTAGGCTTTGTTACTTTGGTCCCAGCTCTCTGCAGGTCATTCACTAGGTCCCCCCGTGTGGTTCTGGGATTTTTGCTCACCGTTCTTGTGATCATTTTGACCCCACGGGGTGAGATCTTGCGTGGAGCCCCAGATCGAAGGAGATTATCAGTGGTCTTGCATGTCTTCCATTTCCTAATAATTGCTCCCACAGTTGATTTCTTCAAACCAAGCTGCTTACCTATTGCAGATGCATTCTTCCCAGCCTGGTGCAGGTCTACAATTTTGTTTCTGGTGTCCTTTGACAGCTCTTTGGTCTTGGCCATAGTGGAGTTTGGAGTGTGACTGTTTGAGGTTGTGGACAGGTGTCTTTTATACTGATAACAAGTTCAAACAGGTGCCATTAATACAGGTAATGAGTGGAGGACAGAGGAGCCTCTTAAAGAAGAGGTTACAGGTCTGTGAGAGACATAAATCTTGCTTGTTTGTAGGTGACCAAATACTTATTTTCCACCATAATTTGCAAATAAATTAATTAAAAATCCTACAATGTGTTTTTCTGGATTTTTCTTTCTCAATTTGTCTGTCATAGTTGACGTGTACCTATGATGAAAGTTTTTCCCCCACTGTATAACACACTACACTGACAGAACATAGAACACACTACACTGACAGAATATAGAACGAACTACACTGACAGAACATAACACACCACACTGACAGAACATAGAACACACTACACTGACAGAATATCGGACATCTATACTGACAGAACATAGAACACGCTACACTGACAGAACATATAACACAATACACTGACAGAACATAGAACCTCAACACTGACAGAACATAGAACACGATACACTGACAGAACATAGATCACACTACACTGACGAAACACAGAACACACTACACTGACAGAACATAGAACCTCTTCACTGACAGAACATAAAACAATCTACACTGACAGAACATCAATCCTCTATACTGACAGAACCTAGAACACACTACACAGACATAACATAAAACACAATACACTGACAGAACATAGAACACACTAAACTGACAGAACATAGAATCTCTACACTGACAGAACATAGAACACACTACACTGACAGAACATAGAACACACTACACTTACAGAACATTAAATTAACTACACTTACAGAACATATAACACAATATACTGACAGAACATAGAACACACTACACTGACAGAACATAGAACACATTACACTGACAGAACATAGATCACATTACACTGACAGAACATAGAACACACTACACTGACAGAACATAGAACACACTACACTGACAGAACATATATCACAATACACTGACAGAACATAGAACACTCTACACTGACAGAACATATATCACATTACACTGACAGAACATAGAACACACTACACTGACAGAACATAGAACACACTACACTTACAGAACATTAAATGAACTACACTTACAGAACATAGAACACAATATACTGACAGAACATAGAACACACTACACAGACATAACATAAAACACAATACACTAACAGAGCATAGAACACACTACAATGACAGAACATAGAAAACACTACACTGACAGAACATAGAACACACTACAATGACAGAACATAGAACCTATACACTGACAGAACATAGAACACACTAATCTGACAGAACATAGAACATACCACAGTGACAGAACATAGAACACACTACACTGACAGAACATAGAACACACTACACTGACAGAACATAGATCACATTACACTGACAGAACATAGAACACACTACACTGACAGAACATAGAACACACTACACTGACAGAACATATATCACAATACACTTACAGAACATAGAACACACTACACTGACAGAACATATATCACATTACACTGACAGAACATAGAACACTCTACACTGACAGAACATAGAACACTCTACACTGACAGAACATAGAACACTCTACACTGACAGAACATAGAACACTCTACACTGACAGAACATAGAACACTCTACACTGACAGAACCTAGAACACTCTACACTGACAGAACATAGAACACTCTACACTGACAGAACCTCCACACGTATATTACAGCCTGAACATTCTGGTTGAGACATGAAGATTAAAGTCCCCTCCTACTCCACACTTCACTCATTTGCAATGTCATTGACCTACTGAGAAGCCATTCACAAGTACCTAAAGTCCAGAGAGGAGGCGTGAGAAAGACTGTCCTTATCACATCCATCTTCCAGATAAATGACATGAGACGTCCTTATCAGTTTCTCCTTAATGATCTCAGATGGAAAGAAAGCCAGTGGAATATCAGAGGAGCTGGCCTTGATGTCAGGGGGAATTACTCAACTGAACTCTGTGGTCCTCTGTAGCTCAGCTGGTAGAGCACTGTGGTCCTCTGTAGCTCAGCTGGTAGAGCACTGTGGTCCTCTGTAGCTCAGCTGGTAGAGCACAGCGCTTGTAACGCCAAGGTAGTGGGTTCGATCCCCGGGACCACCCATACACAAAAATGTATGCACGCATGACTGTAAGTCGCTTTGGATAAAAGCGTCTGCTAAATGGCGTATTATTATTATTATTATTATAACTCAGTTGGACTGAACTAGATGAATGATTCAACTGACTTGGACTGAGCCAGAATGAATGATTCAACTGAACTGACTAGGACTGAACCAGACTGAATGATTCAAATCAAATTTTATTTGCCACATGAGCCGAATACAAGAGGTTACTTACAAGCCCTTAACCAACAATGCAGTTTTAATAAAAATAAGTGTTAAGTAAAAAATAGATAAGTAAAAATCATTAAAGAGCAGCAGTAAAATAAAATAACAGTAGTGAGGCTATATACAGAGGGTACCGTTACAGAGTCAATGTGCGGGGGCACAGGTTAGTCGAGGTAATTGAGGTAATATGTACATGTGGGTAGAGTTAAAGTGACTATGCACAGATAATAAACAGAGAGTAGTAGCAGCATAAAAAAGGGGGTGGGGTGGGGAGACAATGCAAATAGTCTGGGTAGCCATAATTAGCTGTTCATGAGTCTTATGGCTTGGGGGTAGAAGCTGTTAAGAAGCCTTTTGGACGTAGACTTGGCGCTCCGGTACCGCTTGCCGTGCGGTAGCAGAGAGAACAGTCTATGACTAGGGTGGCTGGAGTCTTTGACAATTTTGAGGGCCTTCCTCTGACACCGCATGGTATAGAGATCCTGGATGGCAGGAAGCTTGGCCCCAGTGATGTACTGGGCCGTACGCACTACCCTCTGTAGTGCCTTGCGGTCGGAGGCCGAGCAGTTGCCATACCAGGCAGTTGCCATACCGGGAGGATAGAGTTATGGTCAGATTTGCGAAATGGAGGGCGAGGGAGAGCTTTGTACGCGTCTCTGTGTGTGGAGTAAAGGTGGTCTAGAGTTTTTTTTCCTCTGGTTGCACATTTAACATGCTGGTAGAAATTAGGTAGAATGGATTTAAGTTTCCCTGCATTAAAGTCCCCGGCCACTAGGAGCGCTGCCTCTGGATGATCATTTTCCTGTTTGCTTATGGCCTTATACAGCTCATTGAGTGCAATCTTAGTGCCAGCATTGGTTTGTGGTGGTAAATAGACAGCTATGAAAAATATAGATGAAAACTCTCTTGGTAAATAGTGTGGTCTACAGCCTACCTCGAGCAAAACCTTGAGACTTCCATAATATTAGATTTCGTGCACCAGCTGTTGTTTACAAATGTACACAGACCGCCACCCCTTGTCGTACCGGAGTCAGCCGTTCTATACTGCTGATGTAGCGTATATCCCGCCAGCTGTATGTTATCCATGTCGCCGTTCAGCTACGAAACATAAGATATTACAGTGTTTAATGTCCCGTTGGTAGGATATCTGGGATTGGAGGTCGTCTATTTTGTTTTCCAATGATTGTACGTTGGCTAATAGGACTGATGGTAGAGGCAGATTACTCGCTCGCCGTCGGATCCTTACAAGGCACCCCAACCTACGTCTGAGCATGCACTGACCAACTGGTGCATGTGACAAATAACATTTGATTTGATTCGATTTGATCTATTTCATATCAATAACCAGGTTTCTATCCAACCGGGCAACAGGAAACAGGAAACAGGAAAGGTCGTTACAATTTCAGAAATGGAGTAAACTCTGATTCACATGATGATATGTTGTGTCGTTTTCCCACTGCGACTCGGGAAAGCATGTAGTTTAGTCTATTAGGCTACAGATGAAATCTGTAGAATAAGGATACGGCTAAAGGCTTTAAGAACTGGTCTTCTACCAGACCACTGTGACGAGCCTGATGCTCCTTTCCAATAAATATGGAGGGTCTTATACTGGTGACATGATGATCCATACTTGACAAATATAAATATTCTCGCTCTTATCCATCATAATCCCATCATGTAGACTAAACTACCAGCACTGTATCTGCCAGCTGCTGGCTAGAGCGCACCTGCCAAGACCAGGGTGGGCACAGTTGCTATTTAACACAACAGTTGTTGTGACATAACCATCGGTAGCGTTGAAAATATTTTCTTTATGCCGATTTTAGAATATTTGCATGAAAATCTGTTGCCAATTGGATGGAAACCTAGCTAATAAATTTTTTTGGTTTCTCCCTAGGCAACTAGGTAACTATTCAAGTTAAAATAGCTAACATGAAACAGCTAAAGTGAAACAGCTAACATTTTCTACAAAACACAGTTACTGACACTGTTTTGAGACATTGAACAGAGAGGTCAACCAATAGAAACTCACCTGGTCTTTGTCTGGTTTGTCGGAGATGTCGTTCATGCTGCTTGAGGCCAGGTTCCGATGTGTGGTGGCTGGACTGCCTATGAGAGAACAACAGCCTTGAAGGTTAACAACCTACTCTGCTGTTAAACACTGGACTGAACCTCAGGACACACAGTGTACCAGCCTACCCTTCAAATTACTGTTGAAGGCAATACATCTGTGAATGTAAATCTGATGTCCCTGTAGTGATTCAACAGTTTGTTACCTCATTCCTCTTGATAGATAATGGGGTAATGACAGTCAGTTTGATGCAGCCAGCGGAAAATGACCTTTTCTATGTTGTCACTGGGGGAAAATAACTTCTCAAAAGGTAAGGTGTGAACCACAGTCAGACTTGGTGTTAATCTGTGTGGATTTAGTAGACTGAAGTGTGGACTGGGTAGAGTGAATTCACTAAGTTTGGATGACAACTGTCAGAATTGAATTCCAGTCATCTAAGATCTATCATGGAGGACACTCTGTTGCGGCAGATTCCTCATGAAAGAAAATCACTAGTCTATGTGTGATAGGATACAGTGGGGGAAGGGGCCAGCTGGTTGTTTGGCTCAATGAGCCAACAGTAGCTACAGAATTAGAATGAGAACATACTTGGCCAGTCAGTGGTGCTGGAGGTCCACAATACAGTAGCATGACTTACTAAGCCAGTCCATGGAGGTCCACAATACAGTAGCATGACTTACTAAGCCAGTCCATGCTGGTGCTCCGCTGGGTCTGCAGCTCCTCCATTGAGGTACGGACTGTTAGACAAGGCACTGAGTTTTCAAGCGGACTACGGGCTTTAGTGGCAAAGCGCGCAGAACCCAACCCAAGGAAGACAGAAGCAAAGGGAGAAGGAGGAACGGAAGGAAGGAAGGAAGGAAGGAAGAAAGTAAGGAAGGAAGGAAGGAAGGAAGGAAGGAAGGAAGGAAGGAAGGAAGGAAGGAAGGAAGGAAGGAAGGAAGGAAGGAAGGAAGGAAGGAAGGAAGGAAGGAAGGAAGGAAGGAAGGAAGGAAGGAAGGAAGGAAGGAAGGAAGGAAGGAAGGAAGGAAGGAAGGAAGGAAGGAAGGAGAAAAAGAGTGGATTAAGCAAGAGCAAGTGTTAGTTAGACAGACAGAAGCAGTGGAATAATAGAGGGTTTGTTAAACAGACAGAATCTGATGAATAAGGGGGAGGGTTAGAAGAGAAGAAGTTAGAACGGGAACTGAAAGGTTAACTGGTGAAGCAGAGGGAAAGATGGTTATATGGAAAGAACAGAGCTTAGGCTTGGACATACTTAGTTACATTGGATCTGTTATGTTAATGCACTATAGTTACATTGGATCTGTTATGTTAATCCACTATAGTTACATTGGATCTGTTATGTTAATCCACTATAGTTACATTGGATATGTTATGTTAATCCACTATAGTTACATTGGATCTGTTATGTTAATCCACTATAGTTACATTGGATCTGTTATGTTAATCCACTATAGTTACATTGGATCTGTTATGTTAATCCACTATAGTTACATTGGATCTGTTATGTTAATCCACTATAGTTACATTGGATCTGTTATGTTAATCCACTATAGTTACATTGGATCTGTTATGTTAATCCACTATAGTTACATTGGATCTGTTATGTTAATCCACTATAGTTACATTGGATCTGTTATGTTAATCCACTATAGTTACATTGGATCTGTTATGTTAATCCACTATAGTTACATTGGATCTGTTATGTTAATCCACTATAGTTACATTGGATCTGTTATGTTAGACCCGTGATCCAGGTTGGTAAACAGCCTGTATTAGCGTGATCCAGGTTGGTAAAGAGCCTGTATTAGCGTGATCCAGGTTGGTAAAGAGCCTGTATTAGCGTGATCCAGGTTGGTAAAGAGCCTGTATTAGCGTGATCCAGGTTGGTAAAGAGCCTGTATTAGCGTGATCCAGGTTGGTAAAGAGCCTGTATTAGCGTGATCCAGGTTGGTAAAGAGCCTGTATTAGCGTGATCCAGGTTGGTAAAGAGCCTGTATTAGCGTGATCCAGGTTGGTAAACAGCCTACTTGCACTGGAGACCGTCTTGCCGATGTCAGCTAGCGAGCGCAGGTTGGACTTCTTCGTCTGGTGGCGATGTTTCCGGAGCAACGTGTAAATCACCTTGTCCTTTAGCTCCGCCTTCAGCAGACCACTCTCTATCTGGCTGTATGTGATCAACTCTGTTAGAGAGAGGGAGGAGCAGAGGAAGATATCACTATAGCTGACAAGCTAGCAACGAACCATAACACTGTTTAGAAAGTTACTTTAAGTTTTCTGGCTTGCTACATTGACATATCCTAAATATAGTTTTTCAACAGATGGATTTATTGGTGTTAAAAGAGAACAATTATGCTATTAGGAAAACCTGGCTGATTAGGGAAACCTGACTGATTAGGGAAACCTGGCTGATTAGGAAAACCTGGCTGATTAGAAAAACCTGGCTGATGAGGGAAACCTGGCTGATTAGGAAAACCTGGCTGATGAGGGAAACCTGGCTGATGAGGGAAACCTGGATGATTAGGAAAACCTGGCTGATTAGGGAAACCTGGCTGATTAGGAAAACCTGGCTGATGAGGTCAGGTTTTGTATTTACACTTCGTAACATCAAGGACAATGTTCATGACGTCACTGCGACACAGGCCACTGTCAAAATGAGTTTGATTGAAATATGATGTAGTTAGACGAACTGTAAAGCAGCTTTAAAACTATGCCAAGGTAGATATGTTGTCCTAGACTGCTCACTATCAGAAAGAGAGAGACATGTACTTTGACTGTTTGTCCAACAGACTGGAAACAAACATAACAACAGTCATAAAGGACTGACAACCATCCAACACATTGAGGGTAATATATTCAATACCTGCTGGTGTACCACCATCCAACACATTGAGGGTAATATATTCAATACCTGCTGGTGTACCACCATCAAACACATTGAGGGTAATATATTCAATACCTGCTGGTGTACCACCATCCAACACATTGAGGATATTATATTCAATACCTGCTGGTGTACCACCGTCCAACACATTGAGGATATTATATTCAATACCTGCTGGTGTACCACCATCCAACACATTGAGGATATTATATTCAATACCTGCTGGTGTACCACCGTCCAACACATTGAGGATATTATATTCAATACCTGCTGGTGTACCACCGTCCAACACATTGAGGGTATTATATTCAATACCTGCTGGTGTACCACCATCCAACACATTGAGGGTAATATATTCAATACCTGCTGGTGTACCACCATCCAACACATTGAGGGTAATATATTCAATACCTGCTGGTGTACTACCGTCCAACACATTGAGGGTATTATATTCAATACCTGCTGGTGTACTACCGTCCAACACATTGAGGGTATTATATTCAATACCTGCTGGTGTACCACCGTCCAACACATTGAGGATATTATATTCAATACCTGCTGGTGTACCACCATCCAACACATTGAGGGTATTATATTCAATACCTGCTGGTGTACCACCATCCAACACATTGAGGGTAATATATTCAATACCTGCTGGTGTACTACCGTCCAACACATTGAGGGTATTATATTCAATACCTGCTGGTGTACTACCGTCCAACACATTGAGGATATTATATTCAATACCTGCTGGTGTACCACCGTCCAACACATTGAGGGTATTATATTCAATACCTGCTGGTGTACCACCATCCAACACATTGAGGGTAATATATTCAATACCTGCTGGTGTACCACCATCCAACACATTGAGGGTAATATATTCAATACCTGCTGGTGTACTACCGTCCAACACATTGAGGGTATTATATTCAATACCTGCTGGTGTACTACCGTCCAACACATTGAGGGTATTATATTCAATACCTGCTGGTGTACCACCGTCCAACACATTGAGGATATTATATTCAATACCTGCTGGTGTACCACCATCCAACACATTGAGGGTATTATATTCAATACCTGCTGGTGTACCACCATCCAACACATTGAGGGTAATATATTCAATACCTGCTGGTGTACTACCGTCCAACACATTGAGGGTATTATATTCAATACCTGCTGGTGTACTACCGTCCAACACATTGAGGGTATTATATTCAATACCTGCTGGTGTACCACCGTCCAACACATTGAGGATATTATATTCAATACCTGCTGGTGTACCACCATCCAACACATTGAGGGTATTATATTCAATACCTGCTGGTGTACAACCATCCAACACATTGAGGATATTATATTCAATACCTGCTGGTGTACCACCATCCAACACATTGAGGATATTATATTCAATACCTGCTGGTGTACCACCATCCAACACATTGAGGGTAATATATTCAATACCTGCTGGTGTACAACCATCCAACACATTGAGGGTAATATATTCAATACCTGCTGGTGTACCACCGTCCAACACATTGAGGGTAATATATTCAATACCTGCTGGTGTACCACCATCCAACACATTGAGGGTAATATATTCAATACCTGCTGGTGTACCACCGTCCAACACATTGAGGGTATTATATTCAATACCTGCTGGTGTACCACCATCCAACACATTGAGGATATTATATTCAATACCTGCTGGTGTACCACCGTCCAACACATTGAGGGTATTATATTCAATACCTGCTGGTGTACCACCATCCAACACATTGAGGGTAATATATTCAATACCTGCTGGTGTACAACCGTCCAACACATTGAGGGTAATATATTCAATACCTGCTGGTGTACTACCGTCCAACACATTGAGGGTAATATATTCAATACCTGCTGGTGTACCACCGTCCAACACATTGAGGATATTATATTCAATACCTGCTGGTGTACCACCGTCCAACACATTGAGGGTAATATATTCAATACCTGCTGGTGTACTACCGTCCAACACATTGAGGGTAATATATTCAATACCTGCTGGTGTACCACCATCCAACACATTGAGGGTAATATATTCAATACCTGCTGGTGTACAACCGTCCAACACATTGAGGGTAATATATTCAATACCTGCTGGTGTACTACCGTCCAACACATTGAGGGTAATATATTCAATACCTGCTGGTGTACCACCGTCCAACACATTGAGGATATTATATTCAATACCTGCTGGTGTACCACCGTCCAACACATTGAGGGTAATATATTCAATACCTGCTGGTGTACCACCGTCCAACACATTGAGGGTAATATATTCAATACCTGCTGGTGTACTACCGTCCAACACATTGAGGGTAATATATTCAATACCTGCTGGTGTACCACCGTCCAACACATTGAGGGTAATATATTCAATACCTGCTGGTGTACCACCGTCCAACACATTGAGGGTAATATATTCAATACCTGCTGGTGTACTACCGTCCAACACATTGAGGGTAATATATTCAATACCTGCTGGTGTACTACCGTCCAACACATTGAGGGTAATATATTCAATACCTGCTGGTGTACTACCGTCCAACACATTGAGGGTAATATATTCAATACCTGCTGGTGTACTACCGTCCAACACATTGAGGGTAATATATTCAATACCTGCTGGTGTACCACCGTCCAACACATTGAGGATATTATATTCAATACCTGCTGGTGTACCACCGTCCAACACATTGAGGGTAATATATTCAATACCTGCTGGTGTACCACCGTCCAACACATTGAGTATATTCAATACCTGCTGGTGTACTACCGTCCAACACATTGAGGGTAATATATTCAATACCTGCTGGTGTACCACCGTCCAACACATTGAGGGTAATATATTCAATACCTGCTGGTGTACCACCGTCCAACACATTGAGGGTAATATATTCAATACCTGCTGGTGTACTACCGTCCAACACATTGAGGGTAATATATTCAATACCTGCTGGTGTACTACCGTCCAACACATTGAGGGTAATATATTCAATACCTGCTGGTGTAGTACCGTCCAACACATTGAGGGTAATATATTCAATACCTGCTGGTGTACTACCGTCCAACACATTGAGGGTAATATATTCAATACCTGCTGGTGTACTACCGTCCAACACATTGAGGATATTATATTCAATACCTGCTGGTGTACCACCGTCCAACACATTGAGGGTAATATATTCAATACCTGCTGGTGTACTACCGTCCAACACATTGAGGGTAATATATTCAATACCTGCTGGTGTACCACCGTCCAATACATTGAGGGTAATATATTCAATACCTGCTGGTGTACCACCATCCAACACATTGAGGATATTATATTCAATACCTGCTGGTGTACTACCATCCAACACATTGAGGGTAATATATTCAATACCTGCTGGTGTACCACCATCCAACACATTGAGGGTAATATATTCAATACCTGCTGGTGTACCACCGTCCAACACATTGAGGGTAATATATTCAATACCTGCTGGTGTACCACCGTCCAACACATTGAGGGTAATATATTCAATACCTGCTGGTGTACCACCATCCAACACATTGAGGGTAATATATTCAATACCTGCTGGTGTACCACTGTCCAACACATTGAGGGTAATATATTCAATACCTGCTGGTGTACCACCATCCAACACATTGAGGATATTATATTCAATACCTGCTGGTGTACTACCGTCCAACACATTGAGGATATTATATTCAATATATTTCTTAACTCTATTTTCTTAAAACTGCATTGTTGGTTAAGGGCTTGAAAGTAAGCATTTCACTGTAAGGTTGTATTCGGCGCATGTGACAAATACAATTAGATTTTTATTTGATTTGCTTGATTAGAAATGTATTGTCCTATCTTAGGAGCAAAATGAAAGGCCAGTTCTAAGTCCCTGGTGCTACATGAGTGTCTTTCCACAGCATCTCCCTACAGCTCAAACAAAGGTATTTTTTTAAAAAGTGGGTCAGAATCCTGAACAAGGTTGGCGGCCCCAGGCTCTTTCTGATTGCTACTGCCTCTAATGGCCAATCCTTCAGATAGCTGGCCTCCTAGCAGGGACCGGCTCCCCTCACACAGCCAAGCACACAGCATTACTGCACATTAATCAACTAAAGTGATATATCTTCCTCTCTATCTCCTCTCTTCTCCTCCTCCTCCCCTCCGTCCAGAGAGACACCGGGCCGATGAGATGGGAGGGAAGAGAGATATGGGGTGAAGGGAAAGGGAGGGATCATCATTAAGGAGGAGATTCTAAATGGCATTCCCCCACCCCCCTCTACATCCCTCCATCCCTCCAACCACCTCCCTCCATCCCCCACCCCCACCCCCTCCCTCCATCCCTCCACCCCCCTCCCTCCATCCCCCACCCCCCTCTTCCTCCATCCCTCCACCCCCCTCCCTACATCCCTCCATCCCCCTCCCTCCATCCCCCTCCCTCCAACCCTCTACCTCTCTCTCAATATCACTCTTTCCTGTCCTGACCCTGACTACAGTTCAACACAACACTCCCCAGTGTTCTCAGAGTCTGCCTCTGTATCAGAACAAACTCAACCATTAAAGTAAATTCTTTAATGTGTATATTATACGTGTATATTATATTCAGGCATGTGTTTTGGCCACTTGCTCTTGTACAGTAAATGTATTGGTATTTACGCAAGACGGGCCCTCTAGGAAGTCTTGAAGACAACGTTACTAAGCCTGGTTCCAATGTAACTAGACTGACCCTGTGCTTGTGGCCTCAGGGTTAGTGTTATTACGGGAAGAGGGGGAAGTTCTTTGCTGTGCTGAACGGAAGCACTCAGCGGTGAACCTGCTCTGCTATAGTGGCCAAGCTGAAAGAACAGCACCAAACTGAACTAGATATATCACAAAGAACAGGCCCAGTGAAACCATGTCAATGGACTGCAGCCTCAAGCATCCATAGAAATAGCATTTATAGAACAGACATGGCTATTGAAACCAATTGCACAACTATCAACCTAATATATCATTGCTCACCACATTCAAGTACAACTCCTTTCAGTGTTCTGTAAAGTCCCTATCTGTGGGCCTTCGTAGCACAGTTGGTAGAGCATGAGCCTTGCAATGCCAGGATAGTGGGTTCAATTCCTGGGACCACCCATACGTAAACAACATACGTCCCCACTGTATGCACGCATGGTACTGGAACTGACCCTGTATATAGTCCCTTTAGCCCTATGCACGCATGACTGTAAGTCGCTTTGGATAAAAGCATCTGCTAAATGGCATATATTATTATTGTATAGTTTATATAGACTATAACTGGGCTGGAGTAAGTCACTAAACTGTATACAGACTAGAAATGGGCTGGAGTAAGTCACTAAACTGTATATAGACTAGAACTGGGCTGGAGTAAGTCACTAAACTGTATACAGACTATAACTGGGCTGGAGTAAGTCACTAAACTGTATACAGACTAGAACTGGGCTAGAGTAAATCACTAAACTGTATACAGACTAGAACTGGGCTGGAGTAAGTCACTAAACTGTATACAGACTAGAACTGGGCTAGAGTAAGTCACTAAACTGTATACAGACTAGAACTGGGCTGGAGTAAGTCACTAAACTGTATACAGACTAGAACTGGGCTGGAGTAAGTCACTAAACTGTATATGGACTATAACTGGGCTGGAGTAAATCACTAAACTGTATACAGACTATAACTGGGCTGGAGTAAATCACTAAACTGTATACAGACTATAACTGGGCTGGAGTAAGTCACTAAACTGTATATGGACTATAACTGGGCTGGAGTAAATCACTAAACTGTATACAGACTAGAACTGGGCTGGAGTAAGTCACTAAACTGTATACAGACTAGAACTGGGCTGGAGTAAGTCACTAAACTGTATATAGACTAGAACTGGGCTGGAGTAAGTCACTAAACTGTATATGGACTAGAACTGGGCTGGAGCAGAAGTCATAATGTAGTAAAGGTCTGGTCAGTGATAATATGGTCAGTCATAATGTAGTAAAAGTCTGGTGAGTGATAATATGGTCAGTCATAATGTAGTAAAGGTCTGGTGAGTGATAATATGGTCAGTCATAATGTAGTACAGGTCTGGTGAGTGATAATATGGTCAGTCATAATGTAGTAAAGGTCTGGTGAGTGATAATATGGTCAGTCATAATGTAGTAAAGGTCTGGTGAGTGATAATATGGTCAGTCATAATGTAGTACAGGTCTGGTGAGTGATAATATGGTCAGTCATAATGTAGTAAAGGTCTGGTGAGTGATAATATGGTCAGTCATAATGTAGTAAAGGTCTGGTGAGTGATAATATGGTCAGTCATAATGTAGTAAAGGTCTGGTGAGTGATAATATGGTCAGTCATAATGTAGTAAAGGTCTGGTGAGTGATAATATGGTCAATCATAATGTAGTACAGGAGTTATCTTACCAACAACCTGTGGCAGCGTGGAGGCCTCCATTTCCAGCATGATGGTTCCCTTCTCGATACAGGTCCGCAGCTCCATCAGGCTGTGGAGCGACAGCGTGGCCACGTGGGGTTTACTCCAACGCTCTCCACCCTTCTCCACCTTCTCCTCAAACTTTATCCACCTGGGGGGACATCACAGGTTTCACCATCTTATTTCACACCATCTTCATATACCTTGTTATTTCACACCATCTTGATATTCCTTGTTATTTTACACCATCTTCATACACCAAGCTTGTAACAGCGCAAAATGTCAGTAAAGCAATGTTACAAGCTAAACAGGGCCCTGTTTATCAAAAGCATCTTAAGGCTGAGTTCATGGTTAGAACCTTCGCTGGAGCATCATTAAACATCAAAGCTCAGACCACTGGTAGAACAGCCTCATACCACTGGTAGAACAGCCTCAGACCACTGGTAGAACAGCCTCAGACCACTGGTAGAACAGCCTCAGACCACTGGTAGAACAGCCTCAGACCACTGGTAGAACAGCCTCAGACCACTAGTAGAACAGCCTCAGACCACTGGTAGAACAGCCTCAGACCACTGGTAGAACAGGCTCAGACCACTGGTAGAAAGCTCAGACCACTGGTAGAACAGCCTCAGACCACTGGTAGAACAGCCTCAGACCACTAGTAGAACGGCCTCAGACCACTCGTAGAACAGCCTCAGACCACTACGGTAGAAGAACAGCTCCGACCACTCGTAGAACAGCCTCATACCACTCGTAGAACAGCCTCAGACCACTGGTGAACAGCCTCAGACCACTCGTAGACAGCCTCACCACTCGTAGAACAGCCTCAGACCATTCGTAGAACAGCCTCAGACCACTGGTAGAAAAGCCTCAGACCACTGGTAAGAACAGTCTCAGACCACTCGTAGAACAGCTCAGACCACTGGTAGAACAGCCTCAGACACTGGTAGAACAGCCTCAGACCACTGGTAGACAGCCTCAGACCACTCGTAGAACAGCCTCAGACCCTGGTAGAACAGCCTCAGACCACTGGTAGAACCAGCCTCAGACCACTCGTAGACCGCCTCAGACCACTCGTAGAACAGCCTCAGACCACTGGTAGAACAGCCCTCAGACCACTCGTAGAACAGCCTCAGACCACTCGTAGAACAGCCTCAAACCACTCGTAGAACAGCCTCGACCACTCGTAGAACAGCCCTCAGACCATCCCTGGTAGAACAGCCTCAGACCACTGTAGAACAGCCTCAGACCACTCGTAGAACAGCCTCAGACCACTCGTAGAACAGCCTCAGACCACTGGTAGAACAGCCTCAGACCACTGGTAGAACAGCCTCAGACCACTCGTAGAACAGCCTCAGACCACTGGTAGAACAGCCTCAGACCACTGGTAGAACAGCCTCAGACCACTGGTAGAACAGCCTCCAGACCACTCGCACGTAGAACAGCCTCAGACCACTCGTAGAACAGCCTCAGACCACTGGTAGAACAGCCTCAGACCACTGGTAGAACAGCCTCAGACCACTGTAGAACAGCCTCAGACTACTCGTAGAACAGCCTCAGACCACTCGTAGAACAGCCTCAGACCACTGGTAGAACAGCCTCAGACCACTGGTAGAACAGCCTCAGACCACTGGTAGAACAGCCTCAGACCACTCGTAGACAAACACCTCAGCCTCACCACTGTAGAACAGCTCAGACCACTGTAGAACAGCCTCAGACCACTGGTAGAACAGCCTCAGACCACTGGTAGAACAGCCTCAGACCACTGGTAGAACAGCCTCAGACCACTGGTAGAACAGCCTCAGACACGTGCAGCTAACACTGTAGAACAGCCTCAGACCACTCGTAGAACCAGCCTAACCCCAGACCACTGGTAGAACAGCCTCAGACCACTGTGAGTAGACACAAAGCCTCAGACCACTGTAAACAGCCTCAGACCACTCGTAGAACAGCCTCAGACCACTCGTAGAACAGCCTCAGACCACTCGTAGAACAGCCTCAGACCACTCGTAGAACAGCCTCAGACCACTCGTAGAACAGCCTCAGACCACTCGTAGAACAGCCTCAGACCACTCGTAGAACAGCCTCAGTGAATCGTTAGATGTGAATCGTTAGATGTTTTTGTCCTTTTGCATCACGTTATACACAGAAGATCGGCACTCATTTTGTTTCTAAATTTGACATTTTAGTAGCAGCTCATCTCCAGAGTGACTTACAGGAGCTCGCTCAAGGGCACATCAACAGATTTTTCACCTAGTCGGCTCATGGATGCGAACCAGCAACCTTTCGGTTACTGGCCCAATACTCCTAACCGCTAGCCTACCTGCCGCCCATAGAAGATTATGTTTATAGAATCAAGATGTTTATCTGTCTCTCTGTGACCGCCAACATTACTTCGGAATGAAGTAGCCTACAAATACAAAGTTGCCAATGTCTTTCAATTGTTACAAACAAGCGACGGATTAAAGAATAACTGAAAAGTGAGATGACTGCTGAGATGACTGCTGAGATGACTGCTGAGATGACTGCTGAGATGACTGCTGAGATGACTGCAAGATAAATACAGTAGGCTACATAGACTTATACAGTGTATTTCAATCATGGGCTATTTAAATAAATGTGATGTTCAAATCAATTGAGTTATTTTTGCTAATTGTAGGCTACTGTAGCTAGGCTATGTAATTTTTGCCTCAATATACTGTATTAGAGCTTCAAGTTCCTTGGTGTCCACATCACCAACAAACTATCATGGTCCAAACACACCAAGACAGTCGTGAAGAGGGCACGACAAAGCCTATTCCCCCTCAGGAGACTGAAAAGATTTGGCATGGGTCCTCAGATCCTCAAAAGGTTCTACAGCTGCACCATCGAGAGCATCCTGACTGGTTGCATCACCGCCTGGTATGGCAACTGCTCGGCCTCTGACCGCAAGGCACTACAGAGGGTAGTGCGTACGGCCCAGTACATCACTGGGGCCAAGCTTCCTGCCATCCAGGACCTCTATACCAGGCGGTGTCAGAGGAAGGCACTAAAAATGATAAAAGACTCCAGCCACCCTAGTCATAGACTGTTCTCTCTGCTACCGCACGGCAAGCGGTACCGGTTTCTTAACAGCTTCTACCCCCAAGCCATAAGACTCCTGAACAGCTAATCATGGCTACCCGGACTATTTGCATTGCCCCCCCACCCAACCCCAACCCCCTCTTTTATGCTGCTGCTACTCTGTTTATTATTTATGCATAGTCACTTTAACTCTACCCACATGTACATATTACCTCAATTACCTCGACTAACCGGTGCCCCCGCACACTGACTCTGTACCGGTACCCCCTGTATATAGCCTCCCTACTGTTTATTTTACTTCTGCTCTTTAATTATTTGCTTTTTTAATTTTTTTCTTAAACTGCATTGTTGGTTAAGGGCTTGTAAGTAAGCGTTCAGTGCTTTATTGTTGACACCAGTGTTTATCTACCATGTTGACACCAGTGTTTATCTACCATGTTGACACCAGTGTGTATCTACCATGTTGACACCAGTGTTTATCTACCATGTTGACACCAGTGTTTATCTACCATGTTGACACCAGTCTTTATCTACCATGTTGGCACCAGTGTTTATCTACCATGTTGACACCAGTGTTTATCTACCATGCTGACACCAGTGTTTATCTACCATGTTGACACCAGTGTTTATCTACCATGTTGACACCAGTGTTTATCTACCATGTTGACACCAGTGTGTATCTACCACGTTGACACCAGTGTTTATCTACCATGTTGACACCAGTGTGTATCTACCATGTTGACACCAGTGTGTATCTACCATGTTGGAACCAGTGTGTATCTACCATGTTGACACCAGTGTTTATCTACCATGTTGACACCAGTGTTTATCTACCATGTTGACACCAGTGTTTATCTACCATGTTGACACCAGTGTTTATCTACCATGTTGACACCAGTGTGTATCTACCATGTTGGAACCAGTGTGTATCTACCATTTTGACACCAGTGTGTATCTACCATGTTGACACCAGTGTGTATCTACCATGTTGGAACCAGTGTGTATCTACCATGTTGGAACCAGTGTGTATCTACCATGTTGACACCAGTGTGTATCTACCATGTTGGAACCAGTGTGTATCTACCATGTTGGAACCAGTGTGTATCTACCATGTTGACACCAGTGTGTATCTACCATGTTGACACCAGTGTGTATCTACCATGTTGGAACCAGTGTGTATCTGGCAGAGGCCCAACTCCACCCAACACTTAAGGGTTTATTCCTTATCTTTCCAGGGGTCCAATTACTGAATTGTATTCAACTTTGAGAAAATCTCAATATATGCTTTACTTTGAATAGTTAAAATGTTATATTGAATAAAACTAATGAAGGGGTTATGAGCTATTAGACATCCTCCCTGACTATTAGTTAGGTTAGGGTTGGAGTTAGTTAGACATCCTCCCTGACTATTAGTTAGGTTAGGGTTGGAGTTAGTTAGACATCCTCCCTGACTATTAGTTAGGTTAGGGTTGGAGTTAGTTAGACATCCTCCCTGACTATTAGTTAGGTTAGGGTTGGAGTTAGTTAGACATCCTCCCTGACTATTAGTTAGGTTAGGGTTGGAGTTAGTTAGACATCCTCCCTGACTATTAGTTAGGTTAGGGTTGGAGTTAGTTAGACATCCTCCCTGACTATTAGTTAGGTTAGGGTTGGAGTTAGTTAGACATCCTACCTGGCTGTCTCCTTCCACTCCATCTCCTGCCCATCCACAGAGAGCAGCTCGTCCAGCTCAGTGAAGAGTTGAGGTGGTGAAGGTCCATCATCATCCTCTCCCAGCATAATGCGGATCCTCTCGCCCGCGGGAGAGACTGGAGAGAAAGGGAAGATACTACGGCTTACTGGCTGCTGCCCATCCAGGTCTCCTAACCCATACACCCCTGGGGCAGGCTGGCCAACTCTGACCACTTGAGGTGGAGGTGGAGGAATCCTAACAAGAAGCTCATCCCTCTCCTTCTTCTCTTCCCTGTCCTCCTCCCTCTCTCCATCCCTCTCCTTCTTCTCTTCCCTGTCCTCCTCCCTCTCTCCATCCCTCTCCTTCTTCTCTTCGTGGTTGTTGTTATTGTTCTCAGACATCTCTGGAACTTTTCACCCCCAACTGTCCAAGGGTAAGGGTAAGGGTTAGCTAACCCAACTGTCCAAGGGTTAGGGTTAGGGTTATCAAACTAGGTCCCAGAAGGAGTGCAGGTGGGAACCCTCCACAGAAGAACAACAGCTACACCTGCATTCAGAACACAACTCTGTGGGAAAGTTACTGTGGTCTGTCCTCTGTCCCTTCTGCAGCACTCTAAGACCCAGGTAGAGGGGGGGCGAGGGGGTCCCCCAGTCCCCTACAGCCAGCCCCCCTTCCATTCCCCCAGTCAGCCCCCCTCCCCTCTGTCCCCGCCACAGCTCAAATAGAAACCCTCTCCATTGGTCACCCAGTCACCCCCCTTACCCCTCCCCCCATGTCCCCTCTCCCCCCTAATAGAACCCCCCTTCATTGGTTCCCCTAGTCTCTCCCTCTGCCCCCCCCCCCCCCCCAATATAACCAATTTCATTGGTCCCCCAGCTTGGCATAGAGCCATGAATCCCTCATTAACAATTAGGAAATGTTTCACAAACTGCCCATTCTAAACAAGAGGGCTTTGCTTTCTTTCTCACTTGTTTTCTCATTTGAATATTTAGTCAAGCATCAATGCCCATATAAAAAAAAGACTCTGCAGGACATCAAAAGGACAGAAATATAAATACTACTTTTCAACACTAGCCCTCTTCAGATGTGTTTTAACATGGATCACATGATTATAGACACTTACAACAAGTGGCGTTGGTGACAAGTATTGGTAGTCAGAAGTTGGACTGAGCTGCCTGTTGATAAAGAGAACAGTGTCTTTTCTACTGCTTCTATGTAGGACACACACACACACACACACACACACACACACACAACACACACACACACACACACACACACACACAAACACACACAAAAACACACACACACACACACACACACACAAACACACACACAAACACACACACAAACACACAC